CCCCAAAACCCCAAAACCCCAAAACCCCAAAACCCCTTTTTAAATAAAGCAAATGGATTTTATAGATATTTAGACCACCATCTGAGAAGATTCACCTTTGCATCTATTCCTTCAGCTATAGAGGGCACTGAATGACCATCATTCGGGTAATAATGGAGATCAGTGTCTACTCCAAGAGATTTTAGGCCTCTCCAAAAGTAGATACCTTGCATATCAGGACATCTTCTGTCATCACCTCCAATAATGAACAAACTTGGAGTTTGGATATTAGAAAGACGTGAGATTGGTGATTTCTCATACATTTTTATAATGTCTTCTTGATCCATGATCCATGTATGAGGTTTATTGCAAGCTACTGAGTAGAACCAATCTGGAAGATCTGAGAAAACCATGGCTGAGTGCATTGCAGTTACTGGATTCCATATACATGCTGCAGAGAATTTATTGATCCATTCAGGATGTGATATAATCGAGCATGTAAGATATCCTCCATGAGACCCTCCATATATACCAAGCTTTGTATCATCTATTTCTTCCTTAAATGTTGTAAGTCATTGACTAAAGAGATCAAGTCAATCAGCAACATCAAGATTATAAGCATTTCCAGATAATTGATCTGAAAATTTTAATCCAAATCCAAGAGATCCTCTATAATTAGCCACAAACAAATTATAACCCAGTGAAAGCCAAAGTAGGTTATCTTGAATGAACCTGTTATATGGGTAATAAGCGTGTGGCCCTCCATGCAGAATTAAAATCGTTGGTCTTTTATTAGTATCAATATCTTCAAAAATCTCGTTTTGGTGATCCTGAACTCGTATGAATTGTCCAGTCGCACCTTCAAAAGTAGAGAGCGTATCGATTTTGATTTTTGCTCTAATTTTGTCAAAAAAGTCAGATTTTCCATAGCTTTGGCCAATTTTTGTCCATGTAGGGTTTTCCTCATCAAAATTGGTCAAAATATATGATGAAGTAGGTTCGCTGACTGAGGATGAGTTGATAAATGCAACTTCTTTTGATATCTTTAAAATATCCATCGAATCATTTGTAGTCATATCTGGATTATTCAAAATCTTCACTGTTTTATCTTCAACATCTACTAAAATTATGATCTCTTTTCCTTGATTGGTTGTGCTGACCATAAATTTATAAGTTCCTAAAGTAAATTTATTGCTTACCTTTAATAAAATTGGCTTGGCTAAAGAGATGGTGGTATCCATAAATTCCTGAGAACTTATCGTTCATCTCATAATCCCTTTTGACAACTTGATATTGATTTTGAGTCTTCTTCCCAAAATTCTTGATAGCATTTAACCCAACTGCAGTCATGTGGGTATGAAATTTTTCCTTCACACAAAAGTAAGAGAGGTATTTGTAGTCAGAAGAGAACTTTGCAAAGCCAGAAAAGTATGAATCCTTTGTTAGGATTTCAACATCATATTGGGGTTTTGCCTTCTAGAAATGTTAGATATAGAACTAAAAATTTACCTCAGCCTCTCCAGACTCGTTTGAATCGGATCTTTCTTCCTCCAGATCATGCTTCTTTAGGTAGTATAGTTTAGTAGGTCTATTTAGAGCAAAATTTAGTCCCAGTCTGTCAATAGGTAAATGATACCCATGGAAAATGATACCTTCACCACTTTCGTCAAATATTGGGTGTGCTGGGAATGTACTATCAAATACTAAACATGATAGAAATTCTTACTATTGGGCTGGAGTGTTCCTTCTTTGTACAGTTTTTGAATATCTAACACTTTGATCTTTTTATGAGCAAGATCATAAACTACAATAACTGGGTGCTTCTTATTGGTTAAAGTTTCTCCGAAATTGTTTTTCTGAGTACTATCAAGATCATTATACTTCCATTTATTTATACAAAGGAACAGAATTAGGAGTATTCTCTTGAGAATTAGTGCTGAAATATGATTCGTAAGAAGGAATGTTCTTATCCTCAGCAATGAATACTATTTTGGTATGATCTTGGTTGAATGAAATCCCTCCAAAAACTGCATCATTATAGGGAGCTCCACAACCTCCAAGTTCATATGTCTCTTGATATCCATTCTCATCGTATCTCTCAATCGACACAGAATCTTGGTCTTTCCTTTTGAACACAAACTTTTGGTTGTCATGATCAAAGATCTGGATAATCGATGAATCTATTTGTTCTACTTGTGTATCACAAATCTTTTGGCTTATTTTTTTATCAAAATTCATCGAGTACAGCTTAGAATGGAATGTTGGCAAATAATTTGTCAGATTTACTTTAGAGTATTTCATTTTAACTATCATATCCTTGTCTTTACCCAATATATCAACCCCAGTTAGCTAAAATATAGTCTGCTCACTTACATTCGGATAGAGTCCTAAAATTTTAGAGTAAAGATCAACTGATTTCCTAAACTTTGTTTCTTCTATAAGCTCATTAAATTCATCTAAGATTTGATATGAATATTATAAAGCCCGTAAGACAGTTGGCAAATCCTTTCTTCAGAATTCTTGCCTACCTCTCGTGACATTCTTCTGTGTTCTTCAAAAATTCTGACTTCTAGTTCACCACCTGCTTGTATTTAGATGCTTGAATTTGTGAGCTAAGAACATTTTTTTAATTTCAATACATTTTTAAATAAAGGGGTTTTGGGGTTTTGGGGTTTTGGGGTTTTGGGG